TATTTAATTTTCTTACATCATAGGTGTACTTTGCTATTGTTAGAAATTTACATCTATCAAAGAAAGTAGCAGGGGGTCTATCAAAAATTGAAGAATTGTCGTAAAAACACGACAAGAGGTTTACGAAAGATAAAAGTTTAGGAACCTCTGCTTTAGACGCTAGTTTCTGCAAATTCAACATATTTTCATTCAATTAACACTACACTTTTCTTTTTTCAAATGTTATTCCCAAAAACATCGACTGCCGAATAAGCAATTAGAAACATATAAATACGGTAGAATTAATTATACAAACTGTGTTCTGTTCGGGTTTTAAAGGGATCAGATCTCTGACGCTACGCGAAAGTAATCATAGTTATTTATTAAATTCTAGAATTAAGTAAATTTTAATTAAAGTTTAGTTAATCACAAGAATTGCAGAAGAATAAAATTTAATTTATTAATATATCAAAAATTATCACATTAAATCAAATGTGTAAAATGTCAAATTAAAAATTAAAACGGTATAATCATAAACAAAAGTGTGTTAAGAACTTAAAGCCTTTGTTTTTCTTTGGTTCAAATTAAAACAGAAAATGAATTTTTTAATCTCATAAAAATTTCTAATCGAAATGGTATCAAAATGTGCTCATGATTTGCATTACTTTTAAAATTTCAGATGTAGGGCTAATGTAGGTGGGGATGGGAATCACAAAAGATCCATTGGGTCGACGTGAGAAGGGCCTAAGCGCCTCGGTCCCCGGAGAAAAAAAAAAACAAAAAACACTCACTGTAAACTCACATACTAAGTTGTAGAAACTATTGATCAACTCTTACCCATCAAACTTTGTCAAATGGATTTTGTTTGATGAGGATCAACCACAGTTTTCGCATTCACAATTTTCAGTAACTTTTCCATAAATGAAATAAGATATAAAAAAAATGTGTGAAGTGTGAAGTGTAAACACTGCTTTACAATATTAACCATTTTACGATTCTTTATTGTAGTACGGCATGAAACAAAAACTTTCTTATTTGAATTTAAACTCAATCATTTCGAAAATACACTAGTAAAACCCAAAATTTTTTGATTTTCGAATAATAAAATGCCATCGAATTTGTAATTTATATTTGTATTAATAAAATATATATATATATACAAAATAAAATCGAAAACTAATTTCAATAATTGCATTTCTTCATCTCTTTCTTCTACTCATTTCAATTGTGTTAAAATTTGTTCAACATTAAGTTTTTGTAACCTTTTTCATTCATATTGCATCATTTGGGAAAATTTCCTTCTTTAGATCTAAGATCTCTAAAAGAATCACGTGCATAACTTTTAACTTTATTAGTTAATTTTAATCAATTGATTTTGATTTTTCTTTTTTTAATAAAATGCTTAGCTTATAAAATTTTTACAGTGTAATCAATATTTATCCATCAGTTTACGATACCAGCAGGTCACAATTTGTATTACGAAAGCTCACATGCAGTTGTGCTATAATAGTATTTTCTGATGTCATCTACAGTTTTTACATAGTCTGTCATATAAGAATCAAATTGCAAAAAAGTTAATTTGCAAACATGTGATGATTCTATTATTTTATAGTATATAGGGTGTCGTAATTTAAGACCCCAAGAGTTGCTTCTTTTATAAACTGTTTTCTTTTATTTTCATTCCATTTGTTTGAATTGTAAAATACTTTGATTTTCAATTAACAATTTCATAAATTTTTTTTCATAAAATTTCCTTTTTGAAGTACACATAAAAGCACACAACAATAATAAGCAACAAAAGACATCGGCACGAATTCGAAAAAATCAAAAATAATAAATATTATTCCAAATTCATCTTTGGCAACACCATCTCTTTAGATGCATTTCTATATTAAGCATTGTAGATTGTATTGTTTTGCTTCTTTTTGTAGATTTCTTTTAAGTATAAATCAATTGGAAATCGTGTTTTCATTTCAAAATTTTTCTTTACTTTTTCTCCAACTACATATTATAGTGAGAGGAAAATAATTATAGAGTTTGACACAATCATATTGCATTACATACCTTACACCCATCATCAAATAATTGAATTTTCTTTTTGGTTTCAAATTGATGGTTCTAAAAATTTTCCGTAAAAGGTTGATTCCTTTCACAAAAGGAAAGTCATTATTATTATGCTCTATTGTATGTAATATGCTTGTAATATTGAACATATACATACAGTATTATAATGATGAATTGAATAAATCAGGATTTTGTAGAGATTTTTAATTTTTTATGTTTGTAAATTTGGAATATTTTTTTCTTCTTTCAATGGTGACTTCTATTTTTAATGGTTCCCGGCTCATAATGTCCCAGCTTTGTGTTTGATATTTTACTGAGCCAATGCACGTTACAATGAAAACCTGTAAGCACACATTTATTATTGCTCCGTGCCGCTTTCGTACGAACCAGATCTCGCTACTGTATACCAGGACCGACTACACGAAGCTATTGGATAATATCAGCTTTGCTGATTTGCCTATGTGTACTGATTTATAGATTCTCCGCAGTTGCCCATATTTTCGTACTTAACTTGAATTATGCTACAACATTGTTTTTACGCGCCTAAACCACAAAAGGTTTTCTGTGTAATTAAGCGATTGTATTATTATACGAACCACCAGTTATTAGAAAATTTACGGCTAATCTGAAACAAGCATGCATAAGGATAATTGAGTATCGAATAACAATCAAATTCACCAATGACAACCTGGAATAGTTCAATTTTCCGTGGTCAACCAAACCTTAAGTAATTTTGTGCAGCAAACCACAGTTTTTACGTTTTTCAGTTAGTATTGCAATTTATTCTGGTATATACATACTTAACTTAAACGGAAAGCAAATGTCAAAAGAATATTTTTTAAAGAATCTTCAATCAATTGATATTTTAATGCCTGTTAGAATGAACAGACGCTTAGGCGAATACAAACAAATAATCGTTAAATTTTTCATTTAAGTCTTTAATTTTTTAGTTCTTGAAGTAATTTTGACATTCTTTTTTCGGGGTAAGACTTTTTCAAGTCAAACAACTCGAGTTTAAACATATGTACGAGTAATAATTAAAGTTGTATAAATTTATTTTAAATTGAGAAGACGATTTGAGGTTTAGTAATACTAGAAAATTTAAAAGAAGACTAGCTTAAAATCGGAAACAAATTCAAAGTCTTAGCCTTACCTTTTCATAAATATTTATGTATGTAAATAAGTTTATTAATAATATTTTTTACATGAAATATTATAAAAAAATTAAAAATTATTTCAGTTTCATTCCAAATAAACTCACAATTTCCTTATAAACTGCAATTGTAGTTACATATGTATTTATTTTGTGTTATTAAAAGCGTAATTTCAAAGATCATAATTATAAATTTTTCAAACTTGTAATAAAAGTGCGCAAATTTCATTATTTTGTCCATACAATATATTTGCACGTTTTCCTAATATGATTACCAAAGTGACCCAATTTTAAAAATACTTGGTAAAATGATCCGAAGAATTCATATAATTCTGTGGATGTACATAACAAGTTGCAAATATTTCAAAATTTTCAATATTATGACAACTTTGTTTGCTTTATTATACCAAATTAGTTGCAAATTGAATTTGTAACCTATACGGCGTAATGCGCCCTGTGAATGTAAAAAATTTTACAAGAAATGAAATTGGTTCTGTTTTCGTTTTAATTTGATTTTAACAAAATTAACTTTGAAATAAATTGAAATTTTATTTTATTTTTGCTTTTCTTTTTGTAATGGTTTCTACTGACAACCAAAATAACAAACGTACAAAAGTACACAATGCGTCAGAAACAATATTGGAACAAATTAAAATTCTCTTATTGGTTTGTGGTGTTATAAATTTATCATTTGTTTAAAAAATCTAGGAAAAGAGATCGAATGGTTTCACTTGCCTATAAGCTTTAGTTTACCCTATTTACCCTATATCAAATTATTTTTTATTTAGTCTATCTTATACCAAATTTCAGTGTACCAAAGCAGTTTGTAGCAGTTTTGTAGCAGTTGTTTTTCTAATCCTAACTAATTTGATTTCCACGACGTATGGAAAAATATTTAAGATCCAAGAATCAAAGTTTCCGTTATGAGGTTAAGTGAACACTTCAGGTTATAGTAAAATAATTGTCGAAATTGCCATGGTAGCTGAACACAAAATATTTGGAAGTTTCAGAGATTTAATTTGGAATAGACAAACTACTAAGTAACATCCACATAAATTAAATAAAATACAAATAAATGATCAGCTAAAGTTTGAAGATTTTTCTGCTAGTATAATTAACCTTAAAAATTTTATTATAACCAATACCATTTCTTAAGCATTTTAACCAGCCGCTAAATTATTGAGCGTCAGTAAACGCATTTATTTTAAATTTTGCCTGATTTTTTTTTTATTTTGCAAAGTAAATGTAGCGTATAACTGTTGTAAATTTGATTCAATAGAACGTTTTTAACAAATATTTTTTATATAAACATGAAATTTGTAAATCTTTATATGGGAGTCGACTTAAATTGTAGATCTAACATAAACTGGACTCATTTAGCTATTGAAATTTTGTTAGCAAATAATTTAGATTTGCATTTGTTTAAACACCCCATTACACGTTTTAATATTGTATTCAAGAATGCAAACAATCGCGGTTATATCTGCGGACAGGCTCTGTTGAGGCAGGGCTGAGGAACTAAATAAAGATAGCATAATGCGGAGATGTTCGTCTTATACTTATTAAAGTTATTCTGAGAGCTGATGGGATGAATAAAAGTAAAGTTCTTGCTGTTGCTAACTTTTGTATAAGTAGTTTAGCTATTTATTCAAACCAATTTTTTTAAGGGCACATACTTGAGTTCGTTGTAGTAGATACTGATAAAGGATAGTGAAAAAACATGCCAAGTCTACTGCAGTCGGGCGTAAGAGCTATTTTAAGTGTTATATTTAATAGACAAATTCTAAATGAGTATAAAACCAAATTTGTAAATTTTAAATAAGTAACGATGGTAAGTTACCAATTTTTTTATTTTTTTTTTTATTTATATACAATAATTACAAACATCATTAGTTAAGAAAAGTTTTAAGAATAAAAATAGTTAAAATAATTTTCGAAAACAAAACACAACGTTTGTAGCTTAAATATTTTTCGAAAGTAAATTAATTTGAGTTCGAGAAAAAATTATAAAATTTATAAATAAAATTTTAAGAGTATTAGAATGAAAAATTCTTTTTGGAATTAGATTTGTTTTTTAAAATGCAGCGCGGATTTTATGGCCAATTATAATTATACAAAGGATTAAAGGAAACGAAAAAAAAAATTACAAATTTGTGCTTAACTTCAACTTTGTCGACTGTTATTTCCTAAATTTTGTGATTTATTGGTTGGTGTTATTGACGCGTTTGTTGTTTGAGGTGATGAATATGTTGGTTGTGTCGGATTCTGAAATGTTTGTGGAGCTGTTTGTTCTAAATTTTTTTGAGATTGAAAATTTTGTTGATTCCATTGTTGTTGCTGCTGTTGTTGTCCAGATTGTTGCTGTTGATTTTTTGTATTATCTATTTGACTATTGAATGGGATTGGATTCCGTTGTAATGGTAATTGTTGTTGGTTAAATTGTTGTTGATTATATTGTTGTGTCCTAAAAGGTTGTGGAGCTTGTAAAAATGGTAATTGTTGTTGTGGTTGAACAGCAAATTGATATTGGTTAACTTGTTGAGCTCGCTGTTGCGCTTGCTGTTGGGAAATATAAAAAGTATCAGAAATAAGAATTGCCATGGAATAAAGGTTAAAAAGATTAAATAAAAAGTGGAACAGTCATATTTAAAGGTAGTCTAAATCCAATCATGAATCCATGATTTAAACTAAAATTTTCACTTTCAGTTATCCCAAAATAAAAATGCCTTAATAATTACTTAAAAAGAGTAAGTGCCTTTACAAATCAGTTTTCAATTGAAAATTGTAGTATTCAAGAAAGTTTCTACCGTATCTAGCATTTGTATATAATATGTACATGCGAAAGTTATTCAAAAACGATCTATTTTGAAACAATTTCCTTGAAATTTTTCGCTCAAAACAGTATTTTTGTTTGACTAAACATTTACATAAGTATAAAAGTCTTAAAACACTCTACAATTTTCAACTTGAGACTTTAATTTCAAAAAACTCCACGCGATACTGCAGATTACGATAAATTTTTACTTACATGATTTTCTGGATAATATTTTAGCTTTTCTTCATATGCCTTGTATTTTTTCAATTTGGCGTTATATCTTCCATTTGGTTTCTCATATTTGTGATCATAAATATCATTCTCTTGCAAATAGTATGATTTTTGTGGCACTACTGCACTGTACTTAAAGCCATAGTTTGGTACATATTGAACAGCTAAACTAGGAACTATATTATTCTGATATTTTGATGGATTCGATATAACTTGTCCATTATTAAATTTATGTTGTTGCTGCTGTTGTGTATTTTGTGGATAAAGTGGGGCTCTCAAATAATTATCAACGGGTGGACGTGGTCTTGATGGTGGTGGAAGTACATATCTATATTAAATAAAATCATTTGTCAAATATAATGCTTTTATCATAATTTTTCTTATAATAATTAGATTGTTATTTACATATAAGGATTTGGATTTGGTATATCATCACTTTGATCTTCCCATACTGGTGCTGGTTCTCGATATGGTTGTTGTGGTCTAGGTGGTTGTGTCGGTACTGGAGGAACTATTGGACCTTTATTAGTATTCCAGTCAACTCTTATCGCATTTGATAATGATATTAATAAGACTAGAATTGATGAAGATATCTGAATTGGATTCTGTAAATAAAAAATTATTTAATTATTTACACATTAAAATTATAAGTAGCACAAATATGTGTATGTACGCAAAAATATTAATTGAATTGCGTGTTAAAACAGACACAAAATGAAGGGTATGGCTATTGAAGATTGTTGTAGAAGATACCGCCAATCATTCGAGAGATAATTATGTTTTGATATTAAAAATATTAATTTGTTTTGTGAGTGGTCTTTTTTTATCGTGCATGAAATTATTTTGTATCTTAAGATGTTATCAAGGGAAATTATTGATATTAATTAGAGATATAATTAAGGTGTTACTTCTAGGTGTTACTGAAGGAGCGCCATATGTTTATTTTAAGAAGATGCTGCCTGAAAAAATAGGTAGCAAATAATAATAAATCAGAAAGAAGGAAGTTTCCATTGTGATTGTTTATGTAAAATAATTCAATTAAACACACATGTAAGGTCATTTTTCTCAAAAAAGATGTAGAGGTATGGTAACGTTTCATCTTAAAAACAGGAATATAATGTTTAAATAGTAGCAATTAAATGTAAATATTATTATAAATTTAAAATAAAATAAGTAAACTGAATTGTAACCAAAAAATTCCCAAGTTAACATAAACTAAAATAAATTAACTACTTTGTCCAACTAAAGGGATATTTGCATATTATAAAAACGAATTAATCGAACGAAACAATTCACATGAATTTTAAAAGGGAATTTATTGTGTATTCATTTATTTGGTCCTATAGTAAATGACCAGTGACGATAAATCTATACATATGAATCGAAAGCTAGAGTTGAGTTGGGATGTCACCATTTTAAGAGCTCTCGGATGCTCCATATTGATTTTCCAGGCGGAGATTCGCGCCACTGAGCCATGTCCTCATGAGTGCATTAGAAGTAACCTCAGAAGACGCGGTATTTACATTCTGTTAGACAGCAGGGATGTTCTCGAGTTTCCTTCGTCTGACGTAATAAGGGCATCGAGATCGTTGGAGGCCTGGCTAGGTACAACATTTTAATATGGGTATCCGGTCATCGAGAAATCGAGAAATAACAGAAGGCTGGTGAACTGGCTTGCAGGTGGACTATGATTTCATTTCTTGGGCCTGATCCTTGCTTTAAGCCATTGTCTCTGCTTAGAAGAGGATGAGACAATAAAGTATCTGTTAAGCGAGTCTTAGGCTTTAACTCTGCCTTGGGCGAAGCTTTGTGGCACCTTCTCACGACTCCCGACTCACTTTATATTGACCTACGTCAGAAACCCAGAATTAGTGCTCATGTAAGTGAACTGCGAATCACAGAAGATCCTATGAGTTATCTGATACAATACCAAATTCAATTTAGTAAGAAAATAAAAATTCCAGTGAAACAATTAATCTTGAAACATTCTTCGACAATAATTCTATATCATAGTATGACAATGTTGCCCATCATTACTTTTTCAATGGTAATGAAACAGCAAACCAACTATTTTGATATTTTTTTATGTTATTCATTCCTTTGTTAATATAAAACAATAATTCATTGAAAAGCTTCCACACAGAATGATTAATGTACCTCTTAATAAAGAAACAAAAACAAGCAACACTTATTTTCAATTTTCCGATTCGCGCCCGCCGTACTTGTTCGCTAACAATTTTTATTCCTTAATTCAATTTTTTCTTCATTGTGAATTCTATAGAATAAAATTAATTTATTAATAAGTCAAGTTCACGAAACCATAAAGAAAACCAAAAAACCAACTATAGAAAAAATTTATTTTTTGTTTCATTTCGAGGAGAAAAAGAAAACCAGATGAAAAACCACAATATTGAAAAATTATCAAAAATGCACCTATTAATAACACTAAATTTACTCGCATTCTGTTAAAAATCAATTACAGGTATTAAGTTAAAAATTTGAAATAAATAAACCGCAAAATGGACTATTAATAATAAATATTTGAATATAAAAAAGTTTTTCAATTATGGATGGAAAAATGAAAAGCTTTAATTTTAAATCAAAATTCTACTTTAATTTGAATGTTAATGACTCAGTCCTTTGATATGCCATAAAATCAACGGCGGTCATTATGTTTCATTAATGAACAGGGCAAATTTGTTCTCACGTTTTTATCAATCCATTCAATATTGTTGAATTTAACCTCATAAGGAGCGGGTGCTGAAAATTAATCAGTATTCTGGTTTTTGTTAAACAGATTACACTTACCAAAAAACTTGAAAAACTTTTTTCTTAGCTGGTGTACAAAGGGATGTAATATAGAATAAGTCCTTTTCTTCAAACAGGATCAAAACATTTAAGTCACTAATTTAACAATAATTAAATTTTCTAGAATGTAGATTTCAGAAAATCTCTTTTTTCCAATACAGGTGTTAAAAAATCAACGGCAGATAAAAAAATCGGTCTCAAATCATCTTAGGACGTGTCAATATAGTAAGGGACTTTAAACCATCCCAAAACGGGCCTAATCTGACCATAACATTTTCAAACTAGTCAAACAGAGCTGATTGCAGAAAACTGATTCTGTAGAATCTGTGTAGCGATACGAGTATTCATGCCTGCAGAAAAACTGATTGCAGAATTTGAAATAACATTTTCTAATAAGTTTTGCGAAAACAAAGCTTCTACATTACAAAATTTTAAAAATTTCCGCGAAAATCTACCGTGTATAATTTCAGTGATTTTGTAGCAGCATAAAATTTTAATATTATTTTAACTACAATGACAAAAATTATAATAATTAAAAATACTACGTAGTAAAACAAAAAATTCTGTGTAAAACTTCGCCAACAAAACAAAAAAGAAAATTGCATAAAAAAAATTAAATAAAAATAACAGTATACTGGCGGTCAACTAATAATTATTTGTGATACAAAAAAAAACTTCGTAGGTTTGATTTATCACCCATATATAATGATTTCGCGGAATATGTAATTAAGTATAAAATGATTGGGTTCATTTTGAATTTTTATGACATATTCATGATCACGGTGATTTTTCTTGTTTTTAAAGGTTTCAAATTAATTAATGTAACACATAAACAAAATTTGAGATAAACAAAGCGCAATAATCTAATATCACAATTTAATTTAGAGCAAATCTAAGTGTGAAGGTGAGAAATTTTTTAAGTCACGTTTTTAAATCAAATTAAAAATTTTGAATTCTTTATTTTTCTATTTTGAAAATTAGGTAGTTTGATATTTCTTTTTGAAAGAGATGCGCTCAAATAAGTTAAAAAAGAAAATAATTATTCATGAAAAGGTTTGGTAAGATTATTAGGCCATGGGAAAGTGATTTATTCAAAAAAAAAAAAAAACTTGAGTGGTTTTCGTTGTTGATAAAAATTTTGATTTAAACAATTTGTAACAAAAGTTGTACGTGCGTGTAAAATATACGTGCGAAAAATATTTGATGCCTTCAATGAATATTGAACGAAATTGAAAATTGATCTTGAAATTTGATAAATTCGTTTCAATAATAATTATTGATTGATTGCTATACGCGTATGAAAGGAATTTAGCACATTGTATAATTTGTGCGGTTTCATATGTTTATTTTATTTTCTAAGAAAATTACGTAATAAACTAATGAACAGAATCTTCCCATAAACTTTGAAATTATTTTGAAAAAATGGAGTGAAATCTTAAAAACATCGCTTTATTAATTATTTTTTAATGTCAATCATTTAGGTTTGATGACTAGTACATACTAAACTCAAATTGTCGCACGTACACACGCAAGCATGGACGAACCCAAAAAACCACTCATTTTATTTAATTCTCAGTAAAGTTTTCTTATATTTTATTTAATTTCGAGGATAAAATCGAAAGACGAAGCTTAGGCACTTTTATATTTGTAACCAAAAACATGATAGTGTAACAGTATCAAAAATATAAGAAATCAAAAGATGTTAGTACAAAACCAAAATCAAATTTTTTTGTAGATAAGTAAAATTAATATAGAAACTGCAAATGTACAAATCATTAATAAGACCCGTTCCAACATACGGCTGTGAAAATTGGACGCTAAAATTTACAGATATCAATGTACTTGTATCGTTTGAAAGAAAAAATATTAAAGAGAATTTTATGAACCTATCAGAACAAAAGATAGATTTTACCATATTAGGTGTAATCACGAAATTGAAAATATAATATAAAAGCGAAATATAATCAGGTTCAAAGAGGCACAAAAACTTAGATGGCTAGAACGTCTAATAAGAATGGACAATGCAAGGATTGTAAAAAAAAAGATTTTAAAAGAGTTCCTGAAGTGCATAGGAGGAGCGGCATAAAACAAAGAGATCATTGACAGGCAGTAGTAGCAGAAGCAATAATTCACATAGGACTGTTTAGCTCGGATGATTATGAAAATTATTTGTGAACAGTAATCACAAGTGTTTTACCCAATTCTATATCAAACTACAATATTAAACTATACGAAATCTACTTTTCAAAGACTTCTTTTTAAAATCTGGTTCGGAAATTAAATTTTAAAATAAAAGTGACCTCACATGACGCAGCAACACTTAATAATATTACTCTTATAGAAAGTTTGCTAAACGAGCAGTCAAATTACTCCTATGATAAACAGAAAAATGACAACTAGTAAATAACAAAAATTTACTAATTAAATAAAAATTTCAAAGAAAATTCAAAAATTTAATTGGTATAAACAAAACAAGAAGAAAACTGTCAATGTCATAATCAAATATTATCTGTCAAATAAAGGTTTTCATTTACTGATTTGTGTCCCATTAATACATAAGACTACAATTTTTTTGTTGTAAATGACATTTGCAGTATTTTATTGATTCACATAAAGTAGAAGAAAAAAGTTAAGTCAAACCAATGTTAAAGAAATTTTGTTGCTCGCTCAAAAAAATTGCAATAATTCAAGAAATGCTGATAAAATCTGTAACAACAATACGAACGTATCGCGAAGTATTTTTCAATAAAATTATTTTGCGAGCTATTCTTGAAACATTATTCCCCGCAAGAAAACG